TCTCTCTCTCTCTCTCTCTCTCTCTCTCTCTCTCTCTCTCTCTCTCTCTCTCTCTGTATGTCTGTCTTTCTTTTTACCCATTAGAATGTCTCTCTCCATGTCTACATCTATCCATTTATCGACCGGTCTATATATTTATTGTCTTTATTTATCTGGTGTCGTCGCGTGTGGTGTAGTAATTGGGCACTTGGCCATCACATATACAGACCACCCGGGTCTGATTACCGCCTTGGGGGAGGGGGCGGAGGGGGGGATTTTTATCAGCTCGTTCTAGCAGCAGGGGTGATGTTTTCATCTCAGCCTGGGTATTTGGCCCTGACATGAGGGTCGAAACCGCCTTCCTGGCTGATTTAAATTATTGTTTTGATGGGGTCGTTAAAACGCTTACATCTTTTAGAAAATGTGTCTGTGGCGCTTTTGCATGTCATCTTCATGCTGAATGTCGATGATGACAAAGTAGAACATTTCTCTTGTCTGTGTTCCCTCTTTTTTCTTCTTTTTTTTTCGTATCCATTCGTTCGTTATCTTTGTGTCAACAATTATACCACAATACGTGTCACGTCACGGCGGAGTGAGGTCCTTATCAGTTTTTTTAGCATATGGAGTCATTGGTGTCATCTTTAACACTTTGCAGTCACACAGCCAGCAGTACAATACCCCATCTGGTCACCGAGCCAGGAGAGGGACTGCAACGGACTTCTCAGGCCTGGCGCAGAAATGCGCAAGTTGACCGAAAGGGATAATTTTCACCGGCGCATTATTGTGCCAATTGACTGCAAAATGTTAAAAGCTTGCTCATTTTCTTTGCTTTTGATGAAAAAATACTCATATATTTTGAATAAATGTCGAGATATTTGCGATTGAAAGAGGCGAGGTTGTGGGTGGGGGTGGTGTAAGAAGTAACATTAGCAAGGAAAAAAATTGGTTGACAAATTTAGGTAAATTCCACTTCCAAAGCTTGAGTGTCTTTGGAAACTGCAAATTTACTTTTTTTGGTGCTTTTGATCAACGGGGGGTTTTCCAGTAAAATTCACGTAGGAGTGTGTCTTTAATTTATATAGGTATGGAGCCCAACTCATAAAACCAAAAAAAATACGATGAAAATTGCACTACTGGCGGAAAAATGTCGGTTTCCTCCATTTTTATGAGCGCACACAACCAAAGTTTCCACTGGTCTTACAGCTGCGATTATGCAAATGAGGCATCTTTCGCCCGCTCGTCTCTCTTCACTGCTTAGTGACGTCATACTTCGCAGCTGTGCAAGGGATGGAAATTTTCTAAGTGTGCACGGGCCGTTAGTGTGGAGAGGGGAATCGAAGGAGATAGAGGACAATGGAAGTGGTTGAGGATGGACGGATAGAGGATGAGAGAGGGAGGAAGAAAGACAGGTGTAGGTGTAGGTGTAGAGAGAAGTGGAAGGAGAGATAAAGAGAGAGAGAAGGCGATATTAGAGATAGAGGAGGAGGAGAAAGGCGCAAA